TGGCTCTCCAGGCATCTGCCCTCGAGGGCTTGCTTTGAGATTGTTCATGTGCTGAAATACCTTGGCCTCTGGTTAGGACCTGCCGCGCTTCTCCGTTTTTGGAGAGCTCCCGTCGCCGCGTGGCTGGGCCGCGGCTCGAGATTGCCTTCCCGGGGCCAGGGCGCGCCGTTCCCTGTCGCGGCCCAAACTTATGAAAGCAGAGTGGCCTCGGTGTTAAACTGCGTCTCAGAATCGTTGCCCCTGCCCGCGGAGGTTGCCAGACAAGAGCCAGCCATGTTTGCGCGTCTTTTTCGGACCTCGAACTGTGTGATTCCCCGTGCTGGGTGGTTCGAGCTTGCCCATTGGGGCGGGCCTCGCGTCACGAGTACCCAGGCAACTTCCATCGCGGCCCTGGTCCGCGCGAGCCGCCTCCACCTAGGTTCCTGGCGAGAGACGCTCCCTCCTCTCTCAGCGGCTGCCGAAGAGCAGCTCCCCATCGTCCAGCGGGTCATCCACCATTCGCTTTCGCCCTCCTTCTGGCTCCCCCCCTCGTTCCGCGAGTTCCACGCTGCTGCTGACGCTGGCTTCCCTCGCCCCCTCGGTTCTCATCTTGCGACGTCCAATGCCCGCTCTCATCGGTGCGTCCCACGCGCCGCCAAGCGTGCCATCGAATCGCTCACGATTGCCGTTGCTGAGGCACCCGATCCCAGCAAGTTCAAAGTTCAACGTCATTTGAAGATCAAGATACCTGAGAATCTTCACCCCTAGTGCCCGTCTGAGGTGTTTGCCTGTCGGCTGGCCCAGTGGATGCCAATCACCCTTCCCGAGGCCCGTGGTCTTCCGCGGGATGCCCTGCGGTCCGAGCTCTCGCTTTTCAGCGTTTCGTTTCCGATGGCCGTTCTGAAGTTTCTGGTGGGCGGGTGGGCCACCGACAGGCGTTTTCAAGAATCCTCGCCGCGCATGCTCGGCTGCCACGATGGGCTTGACGACCTTACCCATTACTGGGGCTGCCCCCCTCTCACACGCCACCTGGCGGCTTTGCTTCATCTCCATGTCCCAGTCTTCTTGTCCACCTCTGCTCCTGGTCGCCTTGGTATTGCTCCCCCCTCTCGCTCGCCCCTTCGCGCCCCTGCTGCTGCTGCCATCTTGTTCACACATCTGCATTCCCAGCCCGGGCGCCCGATCACAGCCGACGAAGTCGGCTTCGTAATTCCCGCAGCGAGGTGGGCGCTAGAGCGGCTGTAGAGACGGACGTGGCGCGCGGCCACGCGCGAGGAGGAGGAGGAGGAGGAGGAGGAGGAGGGGGAGGCACAGTCGGATGTCGAGCAGGGCAGTGATCGCGAGATGGCATGATATGCATGGATGAGCACGGCATGGCATGGCGAAGAAGAGCACGGCAGAGCGTAGCATGCCATGGTTAGGCGTGGCATTGCGCAGTGAAGCGTTGCAGCACACAGCATTGCGACGCAAAGCATGGCATCGCACAGCGCGCAGAACACAACACCGCACAGCATGTCATGGCATGGCGCCAGCTTCTCTGGAGGGTAAGTGGATCGTTTTCGAGCGGTCGGGCTGGGCTGGTCTGGAGTTGTGGCTCCATGTTTAGATTTTGGGCCCCCCGAAAAGCTGTTCGGGATCTTGACTGATTCGGGCGCCACCAATTCGTAGCATGCCCGCAGGCCCTTTGAGTTCGAGCTGCGCTGTAGGAAAAAGAGCCCCAATATACGCTTTCCCAACGCATCCGCGTAGCCTCCGCCATGGTAGCGGAGCGTGGTTCTGTTGTGAACTACGCAGATGCGATGCACGGGAAGACTGAGGACGTGCGCTGCCCATGGCAGCGGCGCCCAGAGAGCAGCTGGTGGCTTGCAGAGGCGACATCAAACTGCCAGAGTTCAGTGGCAGAGACGAGGACTGGCCCAGCTGGTCCACCAAGGCCCACGCGTTCTTCGCGCTGATGGGCTGGGATGACCTCGTCGACGACGTTGAGGCCCAGCCAACGCTCGCTCGCTCGCTCGTGAGAGGTTCTGCGGAGTTGTCTCGTGTACAGGTGGCACTTTTCATATGCACGTGTTGCCCAACCGACGTGGCGGACTCTTCATTGATCCCATCTCTGGCTTTACACGCTCCCCTGAAGCAGCGCAAACGAGCGAGGGAGGGGAAGAAAGGAAGGGAGGAGTGGGGGATTGAGGGAAGGGGGGGCGACAGGACGGGGGCGGCCGCGCTGGCTGAGGCGGCCGCGCTGGCTGAATGCTCGTCGTTTGTGACAGACCTGGTGGGTAGGAGTGGTGTGTGGCATATTGAAGTTGCCGGTTAGTCTGGATAAACATCTGGCCGTAATGCAAGTCCAAGTCCAAGACAGGACGTGGGAGGAGGGAGCGAGGGGACGCGGTATGGCGGACACGTGTCCAATTTGACGTGGTGGCGAACATCCCACTTGCCGGCCGGATGTTGGAAAGGCCTCGCGGATGCACGCGAGCCAGGTGCGCGGGGCGGCGTTTGCTTATAGATCACCCAAGGAAGGGCTACCCTAGGGCTACCCCTAGGGCCTACCCCTAGGGCTACCCTAGGGCTACCCTAGGGCCTACCCCTAGGGCTACCCTAGGGCTACCCCTAGGGCCTACCCCTAGGGCTACCGTAGGGCTACCCCTAGGGCCTACCCCTAGGGCTACCTTAGGGCTACCCTAGGGTCTACCCCTAGGGCCTACCCCTAGGGCTACCCCTAGGGCCTACCCCTAGGGCTACCCTAGGGCTACCCCTAGGGCCTACCCCTAGGGCTACCCTAGGGCTACCCTAGGGCCTACCCCTAGGGCAACCCTAGGGCTACCTCTGGGGCCTACCCCTAGGGGTACCCTAGGGCTACCCTAGGGTGTCCAGTAGGGCCTATTCTTGGGAAGCCTAGGGCCTTCAGTCTGTGTAATCCGCCACACAAGCAAACAATGCCTTTAATGTCCCGCCCGCCCGCCCGACAAAAGGAATCGGCTTGTAATCCGCCATAATAGTAATCAACTTGCAATCCGCTGCCAAATGGAATTACTTTGTAATCCGCCACGAAAGCAATCAATGCATTTAATGTCCCGCCCGCCCGCCCGACCAAAGGAATAAGTTTGCAATCCGCTGCCAAAGGGAATCCATTTGTAATTCACCACACAAGCAATTATTGCCTTCAATGTCCCGCCCGCCCGCCAGGCAAAAGGCGCCCGACCAAAGGAATAAGTTTAAAATCCGCTGCCAAAGGGAATCCATTCGCAATTCACCAAACAAGCAATCATTGCCTTTAATGTCCCGCCCGCCCGCCAGACAAAAGGAATCAATGTGTAATCTGCCACAATAAGAATCAGTTTGCCATCCACCAAACAAGCAATCATTGCCTTTAATGTCCCGCCCGCCCGCCCGACAAAAGGAATCGGCTTGTAATCCGCCACAAATGGAATCTACTCGTAATCCGGTACCAACGGGAAGCAATTGGTAATCCACCACACAAGCAAGCAATCAATGCCTTTAATGTCCCGCCCGCCCGGCCCGCCCGCCCGACCAAAAGAATCAGCTTGTAATCCGCCACAATAGTAATCAACTTGTAACCCGCTGCCACATGGAATCACTTTGTAATCCGCCACCAAAGCAACCAATGCTTTTAATGTCCCGCCCGCCCGCCCGACCAAAGGAATCAGTTTGTAATCCGCAATAAAAGAGAATCCATTCGTAATTCGCCACACAAGCAATCATTGCCTTTAATGTCCCGCCCGCCCGCCCGACAAAAGGAATCAATGTGTAATCTGCCACAATAAGAATCAGTGTGCCACCCGCCACACATGCAATCAATGCCTTTAGTGTCCCGCCCGCCCGCCCGACAAGAATAATCAGTTGATAATCCACCACACAGGGAATCAATATATGTAATCCGCCACCAAGGCAACCAATGCTATTAATGTCCCGCCCGCCCGCCCGACCAAAGGAATCATATTGTAATCCGCAATAAAGGGTTACCCCTAGGGCCTACCCCTAGGGCTACCCTGGGGCTACCCCTGGGGCCCACCCCTAGGGCTACCCTAGGGCTACCCCTTGGGAAGCCTAGGGCCTTGGGTAGGGCCTACCCTTGGGAAGCCTAGGGCCTTGGGTAGGGCCTACCCTTGGGAAGCCTAGGGCCTTGGGTAGGGCCTACCCTTGGGAAGCCTAGGGCCTTGGGTAGGGCCTACCCTTGGGAAGCCTAGGGCCTTGGGTAGGGCCTACCCTTGGGAAGCCTAGGGCCTTGGGTAGGGCCTACCCTTGGGAAGCCTAGGGCCTTGGGTAGGGCCTAGCGTAGCCAAGGCCCCCGGTGATCTATACCGGCGTTTGCGCCACAAGGGTTTCAACATTCATCTTGCAGCCGCATGTAGCACATGTGGGGTTAAAATTAATCCTGCAACCGCATGTCGCACAGGGGCTCGTGCCAAGCAGTTGTCCATGGCCTCTGCAGTGGTCCACGCGGTGGTCCATTCGTGCCAGGCCGCGCAGTGGTCAAAGCATTGTTCCACTCGGGCCAAGCAGTGGTCCGAGCAGTGGCCTACAGTCTTTGCAGTGGTCCACGTGTGGCAAGCACGTTGGTTCCGAGCAGTGGTCCACGGTCTGTGCCCAGTCGAGCCAGTCGCCGTGTCCCCAAATCACGAACAGTGAGTAGCCAGGACCATTGGCAGTGGTACGCTTCCCCCGTGCCAAACTCGAGGCTCCTTGAGTGACTTGGGCCAACATGGCTACGAAGTGTTCCATGGACACAGGGTCCCAGACTGACAAACGGCTGCACACACGTTAGGTATCCGCACCACATGGATTCCGCAGGCGGAGGAAGCGTCAATGTAAGAAGAGGGGGAGGAGGAGGAGAAGGAGATGGAGGAGCAAGAGGCGTTGGAGGAAACAACAGAAAAGAAGCACACAAAAAAAGAGGAGAAAGAAGAGAGAGGGGGAGGCGGACGAGAAGGAAGAGGAGGAGAAGGAGGAGGAATACCCCCCCTGCCGAGCGTCAGCCTTGCCGCACCTCCCCGCCGGAGGATACTCACCGCCCGCCTCAACCGCGCTGGCATCAAAACGCTCGAAGACCTCAAGGCGCCGCGCCCGCGTGCCTCTTCACGAAGAAGATCGCCGAGCGCGTTCCACTATTCGCAAAGTGCCTACTCGCAAAAGACCGAAGACCATGCGTCTGCCTAGGCGTAATGGACTGTGAATCCTCCGCGGTGGATCCTGGCCATTTGCGAGTGGTTACTTTGCGAGTAGTGGAACGCGCTTGTCAACAAGGGCGAACACTGCACACGAGCTCTCGGAGGTCCGCGCGGATTTTTTGCTGGACCGTTGCGGAAGTCCTCCGCCCGCGGCGCGCGGAAAGAGCGCGCCCAAGAGGGGCGGCGCCGGAGGCGCTGCCTGCCAGGGGGTCGGAGCGCCGAGCCGAGAGGAGTCCGCGCGGACCTCTTGGAAGGTCACGTGTGTGTGTGTGTGTGTGTGTGTGTGTCCTCCTCCTCCTCCTCCTCCTCCTCCTCCTCCTGCTCCTGCAGATCCTGCTCTGCCAGACAAGCGCGGTCCACGACCTGCAAAGCGACTCCTCGCAACTGGCCCGGATCCACCGCGGAGGATATGTCCAACACGTTTTGAATACGTGAAAACATGTTGGAAACATGTATATAACATATTTTAAATTCAATGATAGGATTGTTAGAGTGTCCATTGTCATGGCATCCACAAGGATAGCGGTGCGGCGGGACAGACTGGGGTAACCCGAATGTGCAGCAGAGTTCTTGCGCTGCTGCGGTATCACATCATTCGACCTGGTGATCTCGATCACGATGTGGCTCCCCAGCGATATGGACCCCATCCTTCGGTAGCAACACAGCGGGGCGCCCATTCCATCTTATTGCTTCTTGCGAGTGGACGCTGATCGACGCTATATCGACGCTTATCGACGCCAGATCGACGATGGGTCGACGCTACATCGGCGGTTGCTCATCGATTGCCAGACGCTATCGATGAGCAAGCGCCGACGCAGCGTCGACCTAGCGTCGCTCTGGCCTCGATTAGCGTCGGTCTAGCGTCGATCAGCGCCCACTCGCAAGAGCCAGTACAGTGGAAACCCATGCCAAGAAGCACCCTGCTTGCCTCCAGGATGACCTGGGTTCCGACGGTGTTGCCATGGAGAGCGTGAACGCCCCCCCACACCAAAACCGAGGCATGTCCTTGGCTCTCAGGGTTGGGCTTCCTTTGATCTGCTTCTTGTGGTCGAGCTCCTACCGTACGGGGAGCTCCCTCGGGGCTGCCGCAGTGTCTGTGGGGGGGGGGAAAAAAACACACGCTGTGGGAAAACACACACACACACACTGTGGGACAAAAACGCACTGTGTGTGTTTGTGTGCGTGTTTGTGCTTTGTTTCATCCCACAGTGTGTGTTTTTTCTTCCCACACGTGTGTCTGTGTGTTTTCCCACAGTGTGTGTTTTTGTTTCCACAGTGTGTGTGTGTTTTTCCTACAGTGTGTGTGTGTGTGTTTTCCCACAGTGCGCGTGTGTTTTTCCCACAGTGTGTGTGTATATATGTTTTTGTGTGTGTGTGTGTGTGTTTCTTCCCACAGTGTGTGTGTGTGTGTATGTTTTTGTGTGTGCGTGTTTCTTCCCACAGACGTGTTTGTTTTCCGGGGGATCCCGCTCGTCTCCCGAGCGGTTCTCGACGCCCCCGGGGAGGCTCGGCGGCCCCCCCCCTGGGAGGCCGCAGGCGGCAGCGCACCGCCCGCCGTGCTCTCGGGCCCGGGCCGGCCGCCGCCGCGGAGGGGGGCCCCGTCCCTATATAGTGGGCCCCGGGAAGCGACGGGGCTGCTCTCGTTCTCGGCTCCGGGGGCGGACGGACCTCCTGCCCTGACTGTTTTTTTTTTTTTTTTTTGTTGTTTTTGTTTTTTTGGTCGGCGGGGCGAGAGCGAACCTCTTCCGCTAATAGCTAGGCGGGCTAGGCACAGCTTTCACTAGGGAGACAGGGCACAGGCAGGCGGGGCCTCAGGCGGCCGGAGTGGGCGTGGCCCGGGGTGCAGGCGGTGCCGAAGAGCTTGCACAGGAAAAGGTACGCCGCGGAAAGGGACCGACCTCCTGCCCTGACACGTCGACGAAGGAAATGGCCGTTTTCGGTTCGCGAGAGGGCGTCGCGGCCGTCACTTTTGGGGGTCCAGGCTCGTCGGTTTCGGTCTCAGGCCGTTTTCACGAAAGGGAGGTTTACTAAAGGGAGGTTTGTCCACCGCCGTCAGTTCCGGTTTGCTGTTTTGTTGCCTGTTCCGACGTCGTTTTTGTTGCTGGTGCCGTCGCCGTCGTTCTTCCGGTTCTTTTTGCCGTCTCCGGCCGCCGGTTTTTTGTGCCGCTTCCATTTCGAAGGGGCACTTTTGGGGAAAAGGTGGAAGAACAGGGCCCACTGAAGGCCCCGTCCACAGATCCCCTCGGGTCATGACAAAATCACGACGGCACGGTTATCGATATTGTCGGCCACCCGGGGCCCTTGCCGGCCTCGGGGCCGTGCAGAAGCGACTCGGGAGGAAACGCCAGTCTTGGGGTGTGGATCGAGTCTTCTGGGGGTCGACGTCACCAACAAACATCATGCCGTTTGGTGTCTGGGTCCACACCGCGGGGCCGCCAGTGGAGACCCAAGGGAGGAAAAACCATCCCGATCCCGATGATTGGCGTTTACTGAACGGCCCTGGGCGTTTACCAAACAGCCCTGCCCTGTTCGCTTCCTCCCTTGGGTGCGTTTACCTAACGGCTTCGCTTGTCGGGGTGGTTACTCTGGCGGGGGATTTTCTGCTCTCTAGAGACCGATTTCTCGGAGCTCGCGTCGCCGTCGCCCGCCTGCTGCTCGCCGCCACCTGTTGGCGGGGAGAGGGCGGCCTTCGCGCAGGCCGGCGGCGTGGAGCTCGCCCTCGGATCTTCGTTATGTCGCCCAGCCACCCTGAGATCCTGTCGTGGCCCTTTTTCACATTGGGCGTGCTCGCCCGGCTTCGGGCCCCCTCACAGATCCATCAGGCCTCAGAGGTGCAGCAGAGAGATGGGGTCTACAGGGCTCTCGTCGCGATTTGCCGCGACGCTGCGACTCGTCGGCAACGTCGGATCTCATGGTACTGCCGGGCCCCTCCGCAGCAGCAGGCGCGCATCGACAAGCACGCCGAGAAGAAGTGGCGGGCCATGAACGGCGGGGCTGGCCCTGCCCGCTGCCTCGGCTCGGGGCAGGGGGAGCAGGGAAGAGAGCAGTGGGCGGCTCGAAGACAGGGCGGGGAGGGATGTCGAAAAAGAAATGGCTGCATCAACAGATGCCTTCGGAGGTCCGCGCGGATCTCTTGGGTCGGCCATGAGCTCGCCTCCATGGCGCGCGAAGCGCGCCGTGGGCGGCGCCGGAGGCGCCGCCAGAGGTGCCCAGCGCCGTTTGTCAGGAAGGGCTTCCAGGCTGAGTATGCATTGTTCAAGGCCTCCTTGCCTTACGACCCCGTGTCTTAGGGCCCCGTTTCGAAGGGCCGAGGAGGAGGGGGAATGAGAGGATGGGGCACGGGGACGGGGAGGAGCAGGAGGGAGGTGGAGAATGCTTTGGGGGGAGTGGGAGGAGGAGGGGGAGAAGGAATGGAAGTTTGGGTGAGGAGGAGGAGGAGGCGGAGGAGAAGGACCAGAGTGGAGCAGGAGGAGGGGACGAGCACGAGGGAACATGGATGAAAAGGATGACTTGGAGGTGGACAGGGAGAGGGAGTTCGAGATGGTGGCTGGGGGAAGAGGGTCGGTTCGGCAGTGCCCCCAAGTCACCTGCGCCGACGTGGTTCGTTGTCGTGCGCATGGAATCAGCAAGTACCTTTTGACCCCCGACGTGGCAGCCGAAGTGTCTTGGCGTGCTCTGGCTCGTGGCGCTACGAAGCGATTCCGTTACCTCAAGTCCCCTGACGCCAGCAGATGTTCTTACCGTCTTGTGTCTTCCACGCAATCGCGTGCTCTGGAACCCTCCGTGATTGGACGTGGACGGACCCCGAGGCCGTTGTGCACGGAACGACTCGTGTGGATCCGCGTCGTGCCTTGCGCGTCTGCCGCGCTACGATCGTGCCACCTTTCGGAGCGATGGTAATGGAGCGTCGAACATTATGCATTTGGCCTCCTCAGGATCATGCTCATTTGCCGAGTGCAGTTTGCAAGTGCAACTCTCGCTGCCTGCAGGCAGCATGAGCTCTCATGGCGTAGGCTCCTGTGGGTTGCTCATGGTGCGGGCTCTGATTCTCCAATGCAGTTCCAGGCCGTTGCCTCCTATCCCTCTTTCGTCCTCTCCTCCTTCAGGTCCTCCGACCTTCTCCGTGCTCCTCCTCCTCCTCCTCCTCCTTCTCTTCCTGTCAGTGTCTCAGGAATTGTTCGGTCTGCCGACGAAGGTGGCGACTACCGCTTTTGATTCCCGCACAAACCTCGACGGATAGTCTAAGATCGGTTCGCAGGCATATCAAGCATGACATTGAATTGGACACCTTGCCGCGCTTGCCGGAACGATGTATTTCCCATTCCTCCGCTCTTATCTTGAAAAGAGCATCGCGGTCTTCAGTCTTCCTCCTCCCGCCTCCCTCCCTGTTCCTCCTCCCCAACGAGAAACACCACGATGGCGTCGATGACGGCGACGAGGACGACGAGAAGGACGATGGAAACGATGGCTGTCACGTCGACGACGACGACGACGACGACGACGACGACGACGACGACGACGACGACGACGACGACGACGACGACGACGACGGCGGCGGCGGCGGCGGCGGTGTCGGCGGCGGCGGCGGCTGCGGCGGCGGCGGCGGCGGCCACGACGGCGACGACGATGGTGACAGAGGGTCGGCACGCGCAAACGCGGACCTCGACGGAGGCGTCGAAGGCGGGCGACGGCGACGGCGACGGCGACGGCGACGACGACGTGGACGACGACGACGAGGACGACGATGACCCGCCCGATCTGAACGCCCCATCACTGAGTGAATGATTCATTTGATGTCCCGCCCGCCCGAACGACGTCCTCGGCGGCCTTGATCGATCTCCCCGAGCTTTCCCATTTCACGCAGTGAAGGTTGCATTTCATGCCCCGCCTGCCCAACTTGGACGCCCCGTCACTGATTTCAGGGTTCCTTCCATGCTCCGCCCGCCCGTCCTGCGTTTTCGGCGGTTGTAAAATATGGTTGTCCATGACCTTCTCCCAACACCGCGTGAAGATTTCATGTCATGTCCCACCCGCCCGATATAGACGCCCCATCACTGAGTGAATGGTTCCTCTGATGTCCCGCCCGCCCAAAAGGCGTTTTCGGCGGTTGTTATTGTTTCCCCTTAATGTTTTCATTACGTGCAGTGACGGTTGCACTTGATGTCCTGCCCACCCGATTTGGGCACCCAATCACTAATCACAGGTTTCTTTCAATCCCCCGCCCGTCCGACCGGCGTCTATGGCGGTTGCGATGAATTCACCCGTGACTTTCTCTCAACTCAGGGTGAATATTGCCTTTCATTTTCTGCTCGCTAGTAGTGAACGCCTCATCACTGAGTGAGTGGTTCCTTCGGTTTCCCGCCCGCCCGATTTTGGATGTCCCTTCATTGACTACAGGTTTCACTTAATGTTCCGCACGCCCGATGGGCGTCTTTGGCGTTGGTGTTAAATTTCCCTTGAGTTTTCCCAACACAGAGTGAAGGTTGCATCTATGCCCCGCCCACCTCACCCGATCTGCGTCGTTCGGCGGTTGTGATCGATTCCCCTTTTACTTTCTCATTTCGCACAGTGATGACTGAATATATTGCGCCGCCCGCTCAATTTGGGATATCCCTTCACGGACTAAAAGTTTCGATTAAAGTTCGACGCGCCCGATCGGCGCTTGTTCGGGATTGTGGTACATTTCCCCATGACTTCTCCCCAACAACGCGTGACAGGTTGGTTGCATTTAATGCTCCGCCTGCCCAACCAGTCCACCAGGTCGTCGTTGTCGTCGGCGCCGTCGTCGTCGTCGTGGCCGCCACCGCAGCCGCCGCGGCCGCCTTCTGTCGTCGTCGCCGTCGCCGTTGCCGTCGTCGTCGCCGTCGCCGTCGCCATCTCCGTCGCCGTAGCCGCCGCCGTCGTTGTCGTCGTCGTCGTGGTCGCCGCCGCCGTCTTCGTCGTCGTCGTTGTCGTCGCCGCCGTCGCCGCCGTCGTCGTCGTCGTCGTCGCCTTCGGCCTCGTCGCCGTTCCTGGCGCCGCCGGCGTCGTCGTCGTCGGCGTCGGCGTCGGCGTCTGCGTCGGCGTCTGCGTCTGCGTCGGCGTCGGCGTCGTCGTCGTCGCTCCTGATGGGGGGCCCCAGGCCCCCACCCTCCCTTTTTTCGGCTCCCCCCTCCTCTTCCTTCCCGCCCTCGGGAGGGGAGGGGGGGCGGGGGCCCCCTTCCCTCCCTGTGTTCCCTGGGAGACCAGGGGGGGGACTTGCCAGTACGTCAAGTACGGTTGGTTTGGCAGCCTGAAGATCTTCTCGAAGGCTGCGTTCGAGACGCTCCTGGGGTCGACGGCCTCGTGCGAGAACGGTGGGAACGACTGGAAGGTGGGCATAGATGGTGGCAAGTTGGGGCCCATGGGCGAGGACCTGTTTGCGCAGGCCTGCCTGGACGCGAACGGCGCTTTGGATCGGGTGCGGCTCCAAGCTGGACGGGACGTGCGAGGCGGACCGGCCCGGAGGCTTACTGGGCGTGCCACGAGGCCACCACGAAGGCATGCCCGGCGTGCCCGCCGCGGTGGCCTCGGCGGCGCACCCTTGGCGCTCCGCGGCCCTTCGCCCCTCGCGCCTGCCGACCTGCCTCCCCACTGGGAGCGCTGCTCTGGTGAAAAGCGAGTTTCACAGGCCTAGAGGTTAACACCAACACCAAGATCGGCGGTGTGCTCCACCGAGGGAAGACGATCCCGATCTCGGTGATGGTGGTAATATTCTGGCTGCCAAGGTGACCGAAATATTACCACCAGCACCGAGATCTAGGATCATCTCCCCCCTGTGGAGACAACCCCTTGTGTTGGTGTTGGTGCCAACTTCTAGGGCTCCAAGAGTTCGAGAGCGGACTGCCAGGCGGTCGCGCGCTCCCACATACGGCGTGAAGACGTCCAGCGGTATCGCCAGGCGCGGGGGCGCCCGTGCGAGAGGGGAAGGCGCCCCTGCCCGACGCCCTCTTTGTCCGCGTTGGACGGCCGCTGCTGCGCCGAAGTCAGCACAGCGGCGCGCCCGTTTTGCCAGCGGTTTGGCTCCCAGAGTGCAGCGGGGGCGTCATGCAGTCGGAGAGGTCGAGCCGAGCTTCCGAGCTCCTGTGCGAGAGGCCAGGTGGCTTCTGAGCCTCGCGCTGGCAGACGCACCGTGAGTTTTGGCAGTATCTAGTGTGCTAGACTGCGACGGGAGCCGGCGTGCCGCTCCCTGCGCGCGGTCTGGTGTTCCTTCCCCCATCCTTCCTCCTGCTTGCCTGAGCTGTGCACTGGAGCTTGCGTTTTTCCCTCGCGCCCTTCACGGGCCCGCCCTCGTGCGAGCGGGGTGAATGAATGAGTGAATGCATTAGTGTGCTCGACGGGACGTTTAAGACGTTGGTAGGTCGAATTGAGTTTACGAACCCTTGTGCGAGAGGACCCCCTGCACCCGATAGGTGTTTTCTGTTACCAGCTTGCTCTCTTGTCCGTGCCGCCAAGGAAAATCATCATCTCATCATTTACCCTCGACGGCCAACACGGCGAGTGCCCCAGGGGGGCCACTCCGCCGACACATCTTGTAATTTCGTTGTCACTGGCTTGCGTACTCGTGGTTTCTGGGGCCTCGTGGGGTCGTTGGGGATCCTCTGGGGCCTTAGTGGGGGGGGGTCTTGTGCCAACCAGAGACTCGTTAGGGGCCTTCTGGCAGTCCCAGAGGCCACCTTTGAGGGAAGCACTCGGCATCTCAATTCGGGTTCCCCCTCGAGAGCCCGTCTGAGGAGCCTCGGGAGCCCTCTTGGGGGCCTCGTGGGCCGTCTTGGGGCCGTTTGGGGGCCTTCTGGGGAGCCTCCTGAGTTGACCTGGGGCGATATGGGGTGCCTCTTGGGCCGTCTTGGAGCGTCGGATGGCCGAGCGGGCGAGAACGCTAACATCTTTCGGACCCCCCAGGTGAAGCAGTACGTGTTGGCCTCCCGGGGCCTGCTTGGGGTCTCTTTGGGAGCGATGTGATGTAGTTTTTGGGGCCTCCTGGACCTCTTGGTTCGTCTGGCCCCCCCCCCAGGGGCCGCGTCATGAGTGCGAACTGGTCATGGTGTTAACCTCGTACCGGAGAGTCTAGCACGCCTTTGGCCCGTTGGGCTGGCCAATCTTCCGTCCCTTGCTCCCTATTGTCCCCTCGCCCTCCCCCATTCTGCCTTCTACATTCCATCTCTCTTCCTCCTCTCTTCCTCTCCTTTCAGTTCCCCCTCTCCCGCTCATTCCTCTCCATCACTTCCCTGTCCCCCTCCTGCCCTAAAAGCTGCCCCAGCTCTTCCCTCCCCGACCCTTCTCGTCCACTTCTGTCCTTCCGCCCCTTCACTGCTTCCCCCCCCCCCTTCCCTCCCCCTCTCCCCGCACCGTCCCCCGCCCCATCTGGAGGAGGGGAGCAGAGGAGATCGGAGGCGGGAGGCCGAGCAGGCAGAAGGGAAGGGGGGCCCTCGAGGGCAAAGCTCGGCGGCAGCAGGGGCGAGGGGTGGGGAGCGGGGAGGAAGCACGGGGGCCGGGAGGGGAGGGCGAAGAGACGGGGCGGCGCCTCCCGGGGCGCGGCGCGCGCCAGAGGGGGGGGGGGCGGGCGGAGGCGTGGGCGGAGGGGGGCCGAGGCGGCGACGAGGAGGCGTCGGCGGCGAGGCCCGCGGAGAAGGCGAGCCCCTCCCCCCGTGCTGTGGCTGCCGCTGCTCGTCTCCCCCTCCTCGCCCTCCCCTCACCCCTTTCGTCGTCCTCGTGGTGGTGCGTCGCCCTCCTCCCTCCCTGTTCCCGGCGGTCGTCCTCCGCCTCCTGCTGGTCGTCGTCGACTGCCTCCTCGTCCTCCACATTCTTCTCGCTCCCCTCCCCCCTCTCTTGGGCATCCTCGCCGTCCTCGCCTTTCTCGCGGCCTTCGCCTCGGATTCTCGATCCCGTGCCTTCTCGGAGTCGTGCCTCGAGGGGCCCCGTCGGGGCACGGGCCGCCCCGAGGGAGGCGGAGAGGCGGGGGGGCGGCCCCCCGCGGAGGCAGTCGTGAGGCCTCGGGGGGGGGGGGGCGCGCTCTGGGCCACGCTGGGGCGCCTCGGGCCTCCAGGGGGCCTCCTCGGGGGGGGCCTCCTGGGGGGCCTCCAGGGGCGGAGGGCTCGAGCCGTCGGTGCGGGCGCCCGCTCCGGGGGGCCCCTCCTGGGGCCGTCACTGGGCCCCGCCCCCCCCCCTCCCTCCCGCCCAGAGCACGGGCGGCCAGGGGCACACATCCTGGGCCTTTCTCCATCTCGTGCCGCTCCCGCGGGCCCTCGTCCGTCCTCCCTCCTTCCCTCCCTCGTGCCTGCCTTCCTCCCTCCTCGTCCTCCTTCACGATTGCCCCTCCTCCTGAATACTGCTGTCCCTTCTGCCCTGACTCCGTGCGGGAGGTGGCCCGCCCTCACTGCATACTTTTTACTCCAAGGGCTTCATGGTTGAATGCTCCCTATGCTGGATTTCAGTCGGAACGTTTTCGGTGTTTCTAAATGGTGTTCCCGCTGTAGCGTGTGCCTCATTTTAGGATCGGCGCTTTGCTCACGTCGTTCAGAATGGCGCTCTCGCCCCAACGCGGGTCACTGTTCTTGTTCTGACTCCTTCCTCATCGTTATTTCCTCGCTCCTTTCCCATCCTTCGCCTTCCCCTGGGCCTTCTGCTCCTCCCGCTCCTCCCACTTCTGCTCCTGCTGCTGCTGTTCCTCCTCGTCCTTCGTTCGTTCGCCACCGTCTCCTCCAATATACACAGGTCCCCTTGTCTGATTTCGCGCAACACGATGGTGTCCTCCTCCAGGTCCGCCAAGACACCCGTCGGCAGATATGGAGAGAGAACACAGCCCGCGCACTGGGCTTGCATGGGTGGCATGGGCAGGATGGCACACGCGTGGCGCGCGCGCCCCTGGCCTGCTCCCCTCCCGCCTCCCCTCCCTCCCCTGGCATCGCTCGGACGTGTGCATGTTTTCTCGGCAAGAACCTTCAAGGATCATCCTGGACCGTCGAGCAACAACAAAAACACGCACGAAACCGAACAATGCTCAGGAAATGGACGTCCGGCTCCCTCCTGCTCCCCAGTGCTCGGAGGGGGGAGGGCTTGGCGGGGGGGGCGAGAGCGCGGCCCTCCCCACGCGCGGCGGGGCCGGCGCCCTCTGTGCGTGCGCCGGCGGCGCCCGCGGCGAGGCCGAGCGCCGCCGACCGCGCTGCCCCATGCCACCCTGCCTCCGCCCGCTCCCTCCCCGCGCTGCCGGCCGCTCGAGGTTCACTCTTTCCGAGGCGTGGGCCCCGGAGGTGCGGAGCACTTCTTCCACAGGCGGCCCGGATGAGCAGGTCGACCCTGCCAAACCAAGGGTACCCTTGCTCGGCATCGCTCGGACGTGTTTATTTTTTCTCGGCGAGAACCATCGAGGACCATCCTGGACCATCGAGCAACAAAAAAAACACACACGAAACCAAAAAAGTGCACGGGAAATGGACGTCCGAGCGACGGCAGGCTTGTGTCCTGTGTCTCGCGGCCCATGCCTCCTGCATGCCTGTGGCAACGTGGCCCTCGGAAGGGTCTTGTGTCCTCTCGCGTGTCCTGCCCAATCGAGTCCGACTGTACAGGGTCGGAGGTCGAGCGACCTCCTACCCTGACGCGTCGACTAAGGAATTGGCCGTTTTCGGTCCGCGAGCGAGCGTCGCGGCCGTCGTTTTTGCGGGTCCAGGTCCGTCGGTTTCGGTCCTAGGCCGTTTTCACTGAAGGGCAGTTTACTGAAGGGAGGTTGTCCACCGCCCATAGGGCCGTTTTTGTTTCGCCCCGAGCCGTTTGCTGTCGACGCTCCCGAGGCCCCGCGAGGGCCCCTGCAGGCCGAAATCCCTGGCGTCGGTCAGACGTGTGCATCTTTTCTCTCGGCGAGGTCCCTCGAGGACAAAAAACATCGAGCAAGCAAAACACGCACCAGAGAAACACTTGCTCATCGAGCATCGAGCATCGCGCCACGAAGCAGCGCGCACGAGAACGAGACGTGCACGGGGAATCGACGCCCGAGCGATGGCAAGGAGACGGCCGCAGCAAAAAATCGCCCGCTCCAGTTGTTGTTGGAGCGTCGGATCTCTGGGCAGGTCCCTCCCCCTTGGGTTAAGGCGGGCCTGGCCCCCTGCAAGGGGATTCTCGACGAAAAATAATACATACCAGAAAAAATAGTAAAAAAATACTTCAAAAATAGTCTGGGGACTATTTTTTTACATTATTTTTTGACCCTTTTGGGATGCTTTCGGTTTTTTTTGTTTTTCGTAGAAAATCCCCCTGTAAGGGGGACACGCCCGACATAACCCTTGGGCTGCCGACGGTGGGCGCCGACGTGAGGCCGTGGCGCCGGCCCGACGTGCGCTCGCACCGCCGAGAGGGCGCCGCGGCAGTGCCAGGGGACGCATGGAGGGGAAAGCATTGCGCTATGGGGGGGGGCGCGGGGGGGGGGGGGTCGAGGCCAGGGTGCATCACGCGCGTTGTGGGCGAGGCTTGGTCGGGGGGTCGAGGCTAGGGGGGGGGTCGAGGCTAGGAGGTTGTCGAGGCTAGGGTGCCTAACTCTAGGCCTCCTAGATGGGCTCCGAGTAGATGGGGTCGGAGGCATCGCCGCTGCGGCTCGCCGTGGAGCCCGATCTGCTTCACGCGGACGTCCCCGATGCATCGCCCACGTGGACGACGCATCGCCGGCGCATCACCGATGCATCGCCGATGTATCGGCGATGCGGCCCGATCCTCCGACCCCATCTGCTCCGACCCCATCCTGGAGGCCTCTAGTGACGCGCGCTGTGGCCCAGAGGGCAAACGCACTCTCCCCGGGTGCTCCGCGCCCTCGCCCGCCTCGGCGCCCTCGTTGTGACCGGTGCCTCCACCAGCTGTCGCCTGGCCCGGAGAGGTGCGCGCTCCGCACGGCC